GAGCTGAGGCAGTAGAATCTAAATGCTTTAGATTCTGTAATGTTAGGAAGTCTGTGATGAAGTTCGGTGTGTGGCAAAGGAGGACTTCAGCAGAACCGTAAGTTAGTTATCTCAGTTCTTAATTATTCACATATATGTGAGGAAGCCTAGTTTTCCTTTAGTATTTTTCCCCTTTCTCTTCTCTGTGTCTGTAAAGTCCTATCCCTTCACCTACTATATATTTGTCTGTGAGCGAGTGAGCCTATCTGTATCTGACTGTCTGTTCAAGAACTACTAATTGGTAAGACTTAAGGCCACCAAATTTGCTATGCAGTTTCCTTTTATCATAACTTAAAGGAAGGAAAGGGTCTGATTGTGCAGGTGGTGAGGGGGGCTGCAGCCCCCAGTTTGAGTGGGGACACATAAAACCGTAGAGAAAAGAGACAGAATCAGCCAGGCAGGTGAAAGTGGCTGACTTAGGGGTGCCTTCTACCCCTGTCTGGGATTACCCTGGCCCCGAGCCTCCCAAACCCCAGCTGTCCTTTAGGGAGAGCATGGTGGGGGTGAGCTGCAGTCCTTCCATTCATGTGGGAACACTGCTGGCTGTTCTCCTTTGTCAGGGAACAAGGGTAGAGTGCACAGCTCCTCAGTATGGCTGGGGACAGGAGCAGGCAGATGAACCTGGACCTGCCCCAACCTTCTGTGCCTGTTGGAGCTGCAGTGGCCATGGACAGGTGCTTCTCACCTGACTTCAAGCAGTTATGGGGAGAGAGGGTTGGGTTTGTCCTCTCTTCCCAGGGCAGCCTACATAATGAACCCCTTATCCCCAGCTGCAGCTCAGAACTATGATTTGAATGAAGAAAACCAAAAATGAATTGAGTTAAGGATGAGAGCCATGCTGGGTAAATCTTCTGGTTTTAATATAAATGTAGCTCTCAACAGATAAACATGCACAGCTCCAGCAGTAGAATTTGTGAGGTTGGGTCACTGCTGTTGGTAGAAGTGTGGCTATGACTCGCTGTCAAGCTGCTCAGTGCCTTTGCCCATGGAGGTGTAGTGAGATCAGCACAGCTTGCTAATTCAACAGGCCTTGATTTAATTAAATGGAGATTGCCTATCTCCTAGAACTGGAAGGGACCTTGAAAGGTCATTGAGTCTAGTCTATCTTCCCAGCAGGACCAAGTACCATTCCTGACACATTTTTGCCCCAAATGGCCCCTGCAAGGATTCAATTCACACCCCTGGGTTTAGCAAGCCAATGCTCAAACCACTGAGCTATCCCTTCCCCCCATGCTACTTTCAAAGGGTATGTCTACACTACAGAGTTAGTTGGAACTAACGGACATTAGTTCGAACTAACTTTGATAGGCGCTACACTAGCGCTCCGCTAGTTCGAACTTAATTCGAACTAGCGGAGCACTTAGTTCGAACTAGGTAAACCTCATTTTACGAGGATTAAGCCTAGTTCGAACAAGCTAGTTTGAATTAAGGGCTGTGTAGACCCTTAATTTGAACTAGTGGGAGGCTAGCCCTCCCCAGCTTTCCCTGGTGGCCACTCTGACCAACACCAGAGAAACTCTATGCCCTCCTCCCGGCCCCGGACCCCTTAAAGGGGCACGGGCTGGCTATGGTGCCCGTGCCAGGTGCAAGCCTGCCAGCACCCAGCCAGCAGACCCTGT